ACCCTAACCTAACCTAACCTAACCTAACCTAACCTAACCTAACCTAACCTAACCTAACCTAACCTAACCTAACCTAACCTAACCTAACCTAACCTAACCTAACCTAACCTAACCTAACCTAACCTAACCTAACCTAACCTAAGTTCCGGCGCTTACGGAGCCCGTCCGCATTAGGCAAGTGGGCGCCTATGGGGCGTTTGAGGCGTCTATGGTTCCCTGTACTGCTTTGGGACGGTTCCGGCGCTTATTGCCCCTTTTGGGCGTCTATTGGGACCGGAATGCGGCCGCGATCTTGTCCCGATTTGGGCGCTGATTTGAGCGCCTACGGGGCCTTGGGTGCGTTCTGTTCCGCACTGGGCGCTTATTTGGGCGCCAACGGGTCCAGGACCGCGTTCTGGGCGCTTATCGGCCTACTTGGGCGCTTACTGTGCCGGGAATGCAGCGGAGGGTTCCCGGCATCATATAGTTAGGTACCCGGACGAGGCTGACTTATCTAACGCGCCGTAGTGGCTTTTTATGCCATAATGTTTGTTTTCGATCCTTAGTGAACATAGGAGCAACCGCTTCGTTCAGGTGTTTGGGATAAATCGGCGGGTTCAAAACCCTAACCGAACCTAACCTAACGCCTAACGATTGTCTTGTGTTCGGTAAGGGGAATAGTTAAGCGCCTAACGAGCGCCTGTTTCCTTTTCGGGATTATTCCCGCGTTCCACTTCGAGTGGTACACCGGTGCCTTCGGCACCAGTGTCGGTGGTATCGGCTTCAGTCTAACGCCGATACCATGCTCGGCTTCATCGGCTTCGGTGAAGCCGGTATGGGTCAATCCCACGCCACTCGGCTTGTGAATCCGAGCGCTTCGGACTTTGCGTCAAGCAGGTCGGCTTTTAAGCGCCCGTCGGCGCTTTGAATCCGATTTAGCGCAAGCGGCTGTGTTCGCCGTGTCAGCATTCCACGGAATGGGCATCGGCGAAGTCCGGGACTTCTTTCCCGCGATCCAAAGGTAATA